AGAGAGAGAGAGAGAGAGAGAGAGAGAGAGAGAGAGAGAGAGAGAGAGAGAGAAAAGGACAGATTGCAGAACAATAAAACTGGAAGAAAAGCAAAAATAGTATCTGCCGAAATACTTAACGTCGATATGGCATTGAGACAATATCGCGTCGGCAGGGGTAGTAAGAGGGTAAAAGTTACGCCGCGTCGGCGCAGTAGCATGTTTATTGATTTTGCAAGCAAAGCTATCCCATACAGCCCGACATCGATTCAACCGCGAAGGAGAACCGAGCACCGGTTTGACAGTCGATATAATCGGAGAGTCCAATCCGTTCGACGAAAAGGGTGGGAACGGCTCTGCTCGACGGAATCTCTGAACGGATCTCGCGGCGCGTCTTGTTCAGTGTGCGAATGTAACGGCAGGCTGCACGTTTCATTTGGTGGCTGGGGAAATACGCTCCGACGGGCGAGCGTTTCCGTATTCCGCGCGAAAGCGAGCACGAAATCATGCAGAACTATGGACACGAGGATTACGACTATGGTATGTCGAACGATGCCCAATCATCGGGCAGAGTTCTTCCTCAGATGCCGAACGCCAGGCCGATGGTGGATCCGCAGGCTGAGGGTGAGGTCGATCCCACCATGTACCCCCAACCAAAAGAGGCCACGCACAAGATTCGTGGTAAAAGCGACATCCTGGAGTACCTCTTCGGTGCCGTCGACCAGGAACTCCTCACCGTGAAGACTTTCTATTTTTTCTTCTATTCGGCCTTCGGCTCCCTATTTCCGCTTATGGGGGTGTATTTCAAGCAGATGGGCATGAACGCGGGTCAATGCGGCCTTCTCATCGGTCTCAGGCCGTTCATTGAATTTCTGAGCGCCCCTTTCTGGGGTTCCTTGGCCGATAGGTGAGGCCGTGCTATTTTCTTTAAAGTATGCGTGAATGATTTTAACGCGTTAAAAGTTGCTGAATAAGAACTACTACTATCTCGTAAAAAAGATAACAGTACAGTTAGTGGAAATCATTTTCAGTCGCACTATTCGAAGTTAAATGCTAAAGAAATTGTCTTATCAACTTGAGGTCATTAATTTTTTAAAAATTTGAAATCTGCATATCTGTCACACACGTGCATTATTTTTGTTCGAGAATGACCTGTATAGTAATCTTAATATATTTTTATTATGCAATGAGAGCTATTAAAATAATTATAAAGCAATACATTGATGAAAAAGAATCTATGCTAAGAATATTTTGATATAATTACGAAAAAATATTTAATGATTTAAAACGAATGATCACTTTTAAAAATGATTTTTTTTTTAATGTCTCAATCGACAAACAATAACAAAATTTTATTTAAATGTTAATAACTGATTATCTTTCTAGTGATATAAAATACATAATTTTAATAAAATTATTGTACTTTTAATAAAGACAGCGACACCTGCTAAAAATTGAAACAAATTTTTATAAAAAGACAAAGATTACTAAATAAGAAATCACTCAGAAGTTGGTATGTGATTTATAAAATTTATTATATTGAATTAAAGATTGAAAACATGTCGAATTTTTAGAATTATTTAACACAAATTAGAAAATAGAGCAAGACTCGATTAAAAAGAAATAGAAGACGTAGAAACAATATTTGTAAAATCTAAATTTTTTTTCCGTAATTGTAAACAAAAATTTATCAAATCCGTAAGTTTTTGCTCGACAAGCAAGTGTTCTTATTACTCGTCTATCCAGAATGTAAGAAGGCCAGGGACATGTGAAAAAACTAAGTTGCAAGCAGCAAGCGAATTGTAATAATATGCGTTCTATCTACCTTATTGAAAATATTTATATTTGAAAATAAAAGAAGATGAAAAAATAAGTGAACTTTTACATTTCTCTTTATTTATTCATAGATGGCAAAAAGGCAAACTTCTCTTATTGGCTTCCCTTTCTTGCTGGATTATTTTCACTCTGCCGTTGGGCTTCATTCAGCCCCCGCCCACCTCTTGTATGGTTAGTACAAATGACACTCCTTATCTGGAAGCGTCCAATAGGGAACAAAGAATTGTAAAAAGATCGACAGATTTGAGTGACTTGTATTATCCCGAGAATAAAGAGGAATATCTGGAGGTCGCATCTAACGTCGTCTTCGAAAGATTACGACGAAATACGGATGATAACGAAGTATTTGATTATAAGAAGAAGCCGAACTCAAAGGAATTTAATGCATTTGAACCTTATGACATTGAGAAAAATGACGTTAGAAAATCCAATAAAGGCGGTTATATTATATACGATTTGAGAAACAACAGAGTCAGAAGACAAACATCCCTCACGGATAAGGATGATGCCGGAAATCTCAGGTATAAATTATTATCAGAAGGCAATGTTGACAATGCGGATGCGACGGGGATTGACTTGGAAACGTTGCAAAAGAAAAATCGTCCAGCCGATGTGTTGGAATACAAACGTTTCATGAAGGTACAAATACTTGTGCTTTTTTATACATGATAATAAAATTTATGTACAATAGAACTGTGCATATATGTATCACTAATCTAAAAATTTCTTTCATAAAAAGCTATATTCTTTAACTCTAGAATGTTATTGATATGTAAATTGCATATACAAGTGAATGAAGTTATCAATAATCATTGGTTGCGTTTAGCAGAGAAAGCATTAAAAAAATATGTTTGCTTTATAGAACGAACCAGTGCAGGCTGAGAGAACAGTTCCGAAAAAGGCTTACGTTCATACCAAAACGCGTGTGAAACCACCACCGGAGAAGATAATGGTAAAGCGAGATGTGGAAAAAGGGCAAACGTTTTTGGACGAGGATGACATGGTTAAAATCAATGACAATGAAGAAGAAAACGAAAAAAATATAGATATGTCATTGGTGAGACGTCGCAGAAGTATAAGAATGCTTCACGGCCCGATTGGACCTAATCAATTGTCACCTCTATCGGTCACTTATGCTTCAAATTATAACGAAAAAGAGAATAAGGAATGGGTGAAGCCGCTTTTCAGTTCCATAGTCTACAGATTACCGGTAAATCACAAGCTTGACTCTGATTTTATTACATAAAAACTTGAAAACAATAATTCGTGTCTGTGTAAAGACATAATTAATTAATATAATAAAACAAAACATCTGCAAGAAGAATAATAATTTAATATGTAACGATTAAATGTGATTTTAGGATATTCAAAAAACATTCTTCCTTCTATTATTGTTGGTGGTAGTCGGTGAATTTTTTTCGGCACCTGCCATAACATTAGCCGATTCAGCTGTTATTACTTTACTTGGTGAAGACGCTGATAGGTAATAATCAGAATATCATTGAAGAATAATAAGGCAATTTTGTTTTCTTTTTATAATAAAATAATTTTGTCAGACTGTACAATATTTATATTAATTCGTAAAATTAATAAATTTTAACCAGATATGGTCATCAACGCATGTTTGGAAGTCTCGGATGGGGTTTAGCCATGTTTTTCGTTGGAATCGCTCTCGATCATAGCACCGCTTTTCCGGATCATCCCTGCAAACCTGATGAGAGAGAAAAAAATTACACGATTTGTTTTGCAATATTTAGCGTTTTAATGGGTGCCGCATTGATAACAGCAACACAAATTAATTTTAAGTATGACTTTGCTTCTGCTGAGCCGGTAAGTCTACTTCAATATGTATACTGTAATAAAATACCGCTGTATGAAAATATCAATAGGATTGTTTTTTTCATAAATATTTCTTGTTTGATAAATTTTATAAATTTTCTTGTTCTCTCTTCTTCTTTAATTAGAAATTTTGCGAATAATTACTATGCAATAAAATAAAAAAATTTTTAATTAATTTATACCCTTTATATAGATATTTAATATGATATGTAAAGAAGATAGTAATTAACTAATGTAATGTCTTACTTAAAATATTAAAAGCACTGTTGTTCAGATTTTAATTTAATATTTAAAGTAAGAAATCAATCAGTATTTTTCACTATTAAATTGACTAAATTTCTGTAAGAATACCGAAATAAGATTTATTAAACTTATTAATTACCTATATCATATTTTATATATAGGAAGTAGTGAAACCTCCAGCCGAGCCAACACGGGAAGAGCAGCTTCAAAGTCAGTTATCCCAGCAACTTAATCTGCCTGGGCTTCAGGATTCTTCCGCCGCTGTAGATCCAAAGCCTCCGCCTCCCGAAGGGAAGGTCTGTATTTATTTTTTATCGAGACATTTTAAATAGAAAGCTCTTATTACGTTTACGTAACATTTGTTAACCATCATGATGAAACGGAAGAGTGAAAGCCACACGTTTTTTCAATTTACCTATCGTGTATTATGTAAAGAAATCTTATGAATAAATTATCAGCATCGCAAGTAATCTCACGTTCTAATGATTTTCTGATTTTAGACCAAGATGTTTGCCCAAACGATGAAGGAAATACCAGAGTGGGTGACAGTGTTGAAGCAATTTAAGGATGTAAAATGCGCGTCGTTTCTTTTCGTCGCGTGGTTCATGGGATTTGGCATAGGATTAATCTTCACTTTCCTATTCTGGCATCTCCAGGATTACGGTGGTTCGCCGACTCTCTTCGGCGTTGCGTCTGTGATCAATCATATTTCCGAGATCTTTGCGTACTTCTTCAGTTTCAAACTTATTCGACAGATCGGGCACGTGAAGGTAAATATAAACTTTGAGAATTGCTTCCAATACATTAGTAAGCTATATTGAAACTTCAGCTGTATTGAATATTATAGTACAATAGAACTCCGTTTATACAAACTTATCAGGGGACAAAACAGTTTCGATAACTAAGTGGTTCAGATAATAGTGGTTCATTAATTCTCCTCTCTATTAGTATTTATTAGTTCCGATAAAATAAGATTGACGGCACTGTACTTCAGATAATAAGAGCTCGGCTATAAATTCGATTATATCTGAGCATGAACTTGTATTCATATAAATGGAAGGAAGCAAAACAGAGTTCTGCTTTACGTTTTTTTTTTCAACAAATCCCATTTTTCAAAATTAGAAAAATCTTTCTAAAGAAAAGTAATTGCGCGATTTTGTTCACGAAACTGTTTTTAATATTTTGATATATTTTTAATTTACATATCAATTTTGCGTTTACAATTTAATATAACATCACTTTTATACAACAAAGACGAGAAAAGCATTTCTGGTCGCCTTTCTTATTATTCACGCTTTGTTGATAATTATTATTCGTACATTTTAGGTATTGTGTCTGGGTCTGGGCGGGAATATACTCCGATTTCTCTATATATCCTGGCTGAAAAATCCATGGTGGGTATTACCCTTCGAATTTATTCAGGGTATCACGCACGCGGCAGTATGGGCAGCATGCTGCAGTTACATCGCTCATAATACACCGGCACAATTGCGTTCGAGCGCGCAGGGTGTTCTTCAGGGACTTCATCATGGACTTGGAAGAGGTTGCGGTGCGGTAATTGGTGGCATGTTCGTCGCAGCTTATGGTAAGCTTTTAACATTCGATATCTCTTTGAATATTTAATATTCAATATACAGATGAAACAATTATAGCTCTTTGCAAATTTAGATTATTGATTTAAAACTCAAATGACTTCGGGCTTACATAATGTTGAATTTTTCACATATTACAAATTATTTCAACATCAAAAATTTATTATTGCACAATAATATTATATTAGTTTATAATAATGTTCATCGGATGACGATCATCAAGTGCCGATGTTTAATAATGCAGGTACGACAGCGACTTTCCGAGCATACGGTCTCATCTGCATCATCGTCCTAGCAGTCTTTGTGTTCATCAATTTCTACAGAAAGGATACCGGCTTTGTATCCGAGCTACCGCAGACGGAAGATCCGCATCAAGTAGCCGAGGCTACTCACTTGGCACCGCACGGTGTACCGAGCAATGCGATACCGCGTGCCCTCAGTTCCACTCGCTTGCACGAACTGGCTAATCAAGATGCTGGCTACGGGGCGACTTATCAGACCGCTGGTGGAAATCTCGCGGTACCCGGTGCTAACGGAGGTAAGGAATCATTTCACTAGGAAAGTAGAGATTTTCTCTGTGAGCGAGACGATCTGAGTGGTATTATCTCGCCTCTGGATTATTTATAATACTTTAATCTAACTATTTACTACTTATCGTTTAACTTTTTTTTTTTATTTTCCACTGACGCAGGCCCTGGCAACCCAATGAACCCATTCTTAAACGGCGGAGGTGGCGGCGAAGGTGGATATAATTACGGTATGACTGGCAAGGGAGAGGACGAGTATATTCGTAGGAGCTTCCAGGTTCAGTAAAACCATTCTCATTAAAACGTCCGGCAAAGAGAGGACGCAATATTTCTGTCGATAAGAGAAAAAAACAAACAAACGAAAAAAAAACAAAAAACAAAATGATACAAAAACGGAAGGAAGACGCTGTCGGCTTTATTGCCCGCATCTTCTACGAGAAGCTACACACTCGCTGAACAAGAAATCCTATCTATACTTTGCCACGAGAATAAATTATTTCTATTTCCAAATCCGGTATGCGTTACTTAGAGACAATTGATGATATATAACTTTCCTGTTTGATAGATCTACAGTGAAGTGGTCGGTAGGGAATTCGATGTCGTAAAACCAACTATCCAACTACACGCCCAACAACCATGCACCAATCCCTTTCATCAACACGACTACGACTGGTAACGACTCGATCTGTCGCGATGCCGCGGGTTGTTCCCCACGACGATATACTGAAATGTGCTTAAGAAGACATTACTGAACAAATAGTAACATAAATATAAATATCCATACAGATAGGTACGTATGCGTGCATAGGAATCCACGTGCAAAGCACATGTAAGACAAATGTAATAAGATTAATGAACTCGAATAATTCTATGTATTTAAATTTTAAAAGTCTTTAACTTACAATTAGAGTCGACTTCTCCGTGGTCGGTATATCGTGAAGAATCATTCGTTGTAAGATTTCTAATATTTTAAGGAAACATTAATGATGCTCTTTTGTAATTTAAATAGTCGTTGACACTGTAAGCTGCGAAATGATTGACTTCGAATTTGACCAAAAGAAAATGCATCGTTCAGGCTTTTATAAATAAATATATATATGTAT